TTTTATATTTTTTTTTCTATTATAGTTTTTAATTAATTTTTCACCTCCATATTTCTGGCTAACATAGAAGAAAATGGATTAATATATAGATATAAATATAGATATTGATACAAATATACATATAAATTTAAATATAGATATATAGATTAGATTTGTCTAGATCTATTTGGATTATGTATAAGATTCATTAAACTACCTCCATTAATTATGTTTCTATATATAATATGATTAATATATTAAAAACTATAAGCAGCAAAACCCTAATTAAAAGAGATTCTTAGTAGTATTTTCTTATATAGATCAGTGCCAACTCTAATATAAACTATTATAAAAATCAATTATTAAGTAGATACACAATTTTGGAGGATTTTCAAAAGGAAAAAAATATTTAATACTAATTTCTTAGGTAAATAAGCGACATCTCTAATATGCAATTCATAAAAAAATCAATTATTAAGTATATACACAAATCTGAAGAATGTTCGAAAGGAAAAGGTATTAATATTATTTTCTTATATAATCAGTCATAGTTCTAATATACCATTCATAAAAAAGTATTCAATTATTAATCAGGGAAAAATTCTAGAGAATGTTTCTTCAAAAGGAAAAGATATTTAGTAATATCTTTATGCAGTTTATAAATTTTATTTTAATTATTAATTAGATTAGCTACACAATTCTGGAGAATATTCAAAAGAAAAAGGTATTTAATATTATTTCCTTATATAACTCGGTGACAACTCTAGCAATTATTTAACAAAAAAAACAATTAGTAATTAGATACAAAATTCTAGAGAAATCTTCAAAAGGAAAAGATATTTAGTACTATTTAGTTATACAATTCGGTGACAACTTTATGCAATTCAAAAAATTCAATTATTAATTAGTAATAACTTTTATTAATGTTATGAAAATAGAATCCAAAAAATTAAATAATTATTATTTCAACTTAAAATCAATGTGCAAGATAGAAAATTAAAATTTAATCGATTCTTTCTCAAAAAAGGATACCTACCATAATTGAATTATACACAAAATTTAATTAAAGATACTTATATTAATGTATAT